TAGATTTTAACCCGCGGTACACGGCGGGATGATTTAATTTTAAAGTTAGTATAAAAATATTTTGTAAATTGTATCTCCTTATAACATATTTATTTATATTATAGTTTACAATTGTTATTAAGTAACAGTATATCACGAGTCCACGAGATAATTATTAATAAACTGAGGATTTAACCCGTATTAAAGAAGTATATAAATATTGATTCAAATTCGTCCGCCATATAAATCATTTCCGAAATATAACCCGTTCCGTAATTTCTTAACCCGTCCTGTGATTTGTAATAAAAAAAAAGGATTAAATCCGTATTGAAGCGGCGGATTAATGATATTTTAATCTTTTTATTATTGTTGATTCAAAAACCCGTCCCGCCAAACCCAACCCGCCAAAAAACTCATTTATTTTATTAACGTTCTTATTTATGATATGATTCTGAATCATTGTCTAAATATTTTAATCGATGTAGAACGTTGAACACACATTTTCGTCAATTGGATAATATATGTCCGTTTTTAAAATTTCGAATCACAGTATATGCAGAAAAAAAATTGATTTTTATTTTATTTTATGTATTATATGATGATTCAAAACAGTTAAAAACAAATCAAACAAAGATGATAGGAGAATCATAATTATAAATCTTAATCAAATCTTCTAAAAATCTAAATTATTAAATATGGAATATCCGGTGTATGAGTTGGATTAAATATAACCCGACCCAACAAATTTTTTGTGAAGGAATTTTTAAAATAGGTCGGATATCCGATATACCCGAAAGCTTTTTTACCCACCCGTCACAAAAAGTGCTGCGATTATACTAGTATAGATATTGGGCAATTCTCTTGACGACCACCTAGTTGACCTTGACGATGAATGTAAATTTCCGACTAGCGTCACACTTTTTTTAAAAACAAATTGCATATTACATAGATAATAAATTGAGTTGGCATGTTGACCTATAATACCTGAAAAAGCAAAAGCAAGAGGTGTGTGTGGAGGTGGTTAAGTAGTTCTGAGATAACTTAAGTATAACTAAAGAAGAAGACGACAAGTTAACTAACTCATTAACCAAAATATGTTTCTCCATCTACTCGAATGAAAAATAAAAACAATGAAAAATGTATATAACACATGTAATTAGTTTTTTCTAATTTCTTACTTTTTTTACAAATATACTCCTATGTCACAAGTAGGAATTTTTTTTCTTTTGTCAACAGCTTTTATAATTATAAAACGGTTCAGAAATCCAAAATGTTAGTTCTAATTCTACTAAAGGAAAAAGGTGTATACCGTGTATTGACTAGTTCAACCGAAATGATAAGTTGCCAAACGCCCAAACCACCTTATTTCTTCTTGTTTTTTTGATAAAAATATTACTTCTTCTTGTAGATAATATAATTCCACCTTATTTCTTCTTGTTTTTTTTGATAAAAATATTACTTCTTCTTGTAAATAATATAATTCCACCTTATTTCTTCTTGTTTTTTTGATAAAAATATTACTTCTTCTTGTAAATAATATAATTCCACCTTATTTCTTCTTGTTTTTTTTTGATAAAAATATTACTTCTTCTTGTAATAATATAATTCATTATGAATATGTATGATCTAATATAAAAAACTTTGTCCATGGAAATATAATTAAAATAGTAGAAAACAAGAGGAGTGCCTTATTTTGTGATAGTATCACAAAAAAGGGGTGACAACAAAGAAACGAGGTATCCCAAGAAGACGAGTGCCTTGAAAGTACAAACAATTTAAGTTCAATAGGTAATAATAGGGACAACTAATATTGTTGACTATTAATTTTCCTTAATTAATTTAGTTAGAGAATTCAATTATGGTTTATATAATACTCTCAATCATGTTTTGGACCGAAACACGAAGAAGAAGCCAATGTTGGTGTGCCGTCCACGACCCGCATGACCTTCCTTGACGTTGAACTTGTACACTAATATATAAAATGATCTATGACATATACAATAATTTTTTTAGTAACAAAGAAGATCGAGGATACTTTTGCTCACAATAACTCTATCCTCTATATACAAAAATGTTAAATAATAGAATGACGTTAGCTATTTTTATTTTCCCAATTAAAATGTTAATAAAGCTATTCTATGTGTGAAACGGTATTTAAAAAAAAAAAAAATTGACCCGTATCAAATCCTGCAACTAAAAAGTATATTATTGGTAAACATGAACCATAATAAACTAACTTGTATGAATAAAATATGTTCCCAATTTAACGATACTTTGTCTTATTAGAGTGGATATTAATGTCGCCAACGTATGCCAATTCTTTAGCCTTATGGTGTGCAATAAATCACTTTGGTCCTTTCTTATCTCGATGAACATAAATTGCATATATTATCTTCTCATTTACTCGTTCTCACGAAAAACATTTTTATCTTTTTTAAAGGCATATACTAATCGTCTCATATTTTTCTAATTATATAAATTAACGTGGACGTACTAACTATAACTAATAAGATTTTTTTGTTTGTTTGTAATTTTTCCTATTATAAAATTTAGAATCCTAATATATTTTTGTAACTTGATAAGGACAACACATAAATTATTAAACCTTGACATACAACAAGTCACAAATGATATTGGTTAATTATTTTTCTATTGTTTTGAATTGTTCCATAAACACGAACAATTGTCTAAAAATCGATGAAATATTTGGGAAAGTTTGAATTCTTTCGTAATTTACACACACATGGCTAAATAAAATCTTTTTTTACATTAAAAAACATGGAATTATAACATTCACTTGTTAACTCACTCTAACAGTTCATATTAATTAGCGTCGAAATCTCAAATTTCCTACTATAAATTCATAATCCTAATATTTTTTTGTGATTAATTCCATGAAGACCACACATCCCCTATATATTAATTGAGAAACATTTTAAAAAAATAACCTTACTTTCACATGTGATTAACGAAAATGTCATGCTGACGTGTCATGTTTACAGAGCTTCTCAACCCATTTAATTAATTGTCCATCCTTTACTAAAATATTTACTTCAATTTGCCATTAGTATTACAAACACTTATTTTACTCATTAATTAATCCAAAATTTAATTTAAAAAATGCTCTTAACGTAGAAAGACACTTAACATGTTCTTATTTCAATCAATTAATTAAAATAAATTACATTTAACATATGCAATTAAGAGTTACTAATCTTCACAAGATGAAACACCTAACACTTTGTGTATCAATTAACTTTATAACTATACATGTTTTTATTATATATACGTTACAATTATCTCTTATCTTATAGAATCCATTATGACTTTCAGTTCATATATAATCAAAGGCATTCCGTTTAACATAAAATAATTGTCAATGCATATTCCACTATATCATACGAAATTAATGTTTTAATCTTATTTAATGTTACAAATTTTTCCAATAATAACTTTTTAATAATCTTTATCTTTATATATGAATCAAAATTTTGTGTAAAAATATACATGTTATACCACAATCTACTACTCTTTCCGCCCACCCAAAATTTGAAATCTATATCATATACATGAAATTAAATATGAATTATCATTAAGATCCTTTAAACCAATTGTAGATGTAAAATCTTAATTAAGTTTTGTAGTTTTTCATATTCCTACATTTATGGAAAATCTAAACAAAGTTACTAACTGAAAAAAATTTAATGGTACAATAAGAAATTTCTATAGGCGATAATCCAAGAAGTATAATCTCGACATATGTGCACATTTATTAGAATTTTTATGAGTATATCCAATAAGAATATCCTCATTAATTTAACAACCAAAATATATTTAAAAAGATGAATATTGAATATCTATTTTAAATTTGTAATCGATTTAAAAAGATGAAATCCACTATATATTTAAAATATGGAATCTAACAATATTTGATAATTGATCGGTAATTTAAATTCTTCCACCGATTATGGTATTTGCTAATTATAACTAAGTTAATAACCGAATTTGTAATTACCTCAAAACGTGTATATGGACTTATATAATTTTACCATGTTCTATTATATAAATTTTACCTCACAAAAACATATTGAGATATATAAATTGACTTATCCAAAAAAAATCCTAACAAAAGATACATAACCATTAAAAAAATTTAATTTAGAAATATACATGTAAAAGAATAAATTTTGAATACTTAATATGAAATATCGATTGTAATGAAGCATTTTATGATTGAGGTCACGAAACGTAAAATATATAAATTTAATTATTAAAAACATAAAAGACATATTTTCCATAAATAATAATATTTCATCAATACTTTATCCACCGCATAAAATGTTTTTCCCACGCTTAAGTATTTTACGGGTGAAAAGACATATTCTTATACAAAATATTTACAAATTTAAATAGAACAATTTATTTTTTAACTTTATGTTCTGTTTTATACAAACGGTTCTTGGATTTCAAATAATAATTTTACCTAAAATAATTTTATTTGATTCGTTTCATCCCGCACATAGTGCGGGTTTTTATCTAGTAAATATTTAAAACCTAATACAATAAGCCACAAAATGATTGTTTTATTCAGTTTTTTCTTTTTTCCTTGTAACGACAATTGTAAATTGTTTATTAAGTTATCTGATAGTGAATTGTTCCACTAACTCGATAAAATATCCGAGAAAGTCTCTTCTTATCAATTATATCAAAGCTCTATTTTAAAGTCAATAAATCAAAGATAAGGACATCACACTTGAGATATTACCCAAAAAAATACAAAACTATTGTTTTATTTTATTTTTCCTATCTCCCCAAATTCAACTTGACGTGTGTACAAAATAAAGTGAATTAAATATATGTTTAAAAAAAAAAACCAATGAGGTGTGATCATCTGAGAATGTTCTCCTGATTTAGCAATCTACTATACTAAATATCAACCGTTAGATCAAAAAAACAATACCTTAAAAACACTAACATCCAACGGTTCTTTCTTATGTATAAATGTTGTGTGTAAACGGAATGAAAAAAAAAAAGAAGCAGAGAGAGAACTCATTGAAGACAGAGTCAATTCAATTTCTGAAAAAAAAAGTTCAAATTTTTCTAATAAATTTTGATTTCCCATTAGTCAGAAACATCTTCTTTCTCGTGACCGGAGCTCAATTTCTTCAAATTTTATCGAAAAATCGAAGCTTTCGTTTTCGTCTTCCTTCTTGAGTATCTCTGTGAATCTTTCATAGCTTCTTGTCTTGTTATAAACAGAAAGATTCTTCATAGCTAATAACTTCTTGATTCCTTTTTGTAACTTTCCGGGAAAAAAAACAGAGACTTTCCTGGAAAATTTTCATTCCACCTAATTTTTCATTGATGGGTATGTCAAAAGATAGGATCAAATTCAACGTTGGTGGAAGAATTTTCGAAACGACAGCGACGACGTTAGCAAACGCGGGTCGTGATTCTTTCTTCGGAGCATTGTTCGACGACGAATGGAATCTTTCACCACAAGATTCCATTCGTTTCGTAGACAGAAACTCAGATTGCTTCGCTGTTCTTCTTGATCTTCTCCGTACCGGAGACCTTAACGTTCCTGCAAACATACCAGAGCGTCTCCTTCATAGAGAAGCTTCTTTCTACGGTTTACTTGACCATGTACGGACCGCCAAATGGGGTCCGTTTGATGGTAACCGACTTCGTCTCTCGGATTCCGTTAAAGGAATTGCTCCGGGAGACGGAACTGCCATCAGGGCGGGTCCTGATGGCGGTTGTTGCGTTGCGCATGGGAGTGTTGTCCATGTGTTTGATTGGATGTTGGAAGAACACTCTCCGATCAACCTCGATTATCAGAGAGTTAACGATGTTGGCTGGATTGATTCAGACAACATCGTACTCTCTGCTTGTGAGAGATTAGGAAGAGGAGAAGGAGGCATGGGACTGTTTAGTTCATCCTCCGGTGATCTTCGGTATAAGTTTCAGGTCTGTCATGAGAATCAGGTGAAGAGTTATACAGCTGGAGCTTTGAGTTTTTCGCCGGATTATGAGATTTTCGCTAGCTGCAAAGGTCGGAGTAATGAGTACGGAATCGGAGTTTGGGATCAGATAACTGGAAAACAAACAGATTTCTTCTACGAGAGTCCAGGTTGGTCACTTGGTGATGCTGATAAGCTTCAATGGTTGAATGGTAAGAATTGTCTTCTTGTAGCTACATTGTTTCCAAGAAAGGATAACTGTTACATTAGCTTGTTGGATTTTCGGGACAAGAACATGGTTTGGTCTTGGTCGGATATCGGGTCTCCTATGGCTATAGACGAGAAGAGAGTGAGAGATGCTATAGCTATGGAAGATAGCAATTCGATTTGCGTGGTGAATGAGTTTGAGGATTTGGGGTTTATTGATCTGAGAATGTATGGAGGAAGCGTTAGGTGGAGTTCGAGAAGTAAATTGATGAAGAGTAAGATGCCTGACGAGCCTTGTTACCCGAAACTGGCTTTGCACGAAGGCCAGCTTTTCTCATCGATGAATGATTCTATCTCTGTGTTTTGTGGACCAGACTGGGTCTTAACTTCTAGGCTAAGAAGAAGCTATGGTGGCTCAATCTGTGATTTCTCCATTGGTGGCGATCGCCTTTTTGCATTGCATAGCGAAGAGAATGTGTTTGATGTCTGGGAGACTCCGCCTTGTCCGATCATCTGATTCACTTCCTCAATACTCTGGTCTGCTATTGTTAATGTTTGCTTGTTTTATTTGTGTTTAGACTTTAGAGTCCTTAGAAAACTACAGAGATAAAAATAGCAATAGACAAAGACAACTATAGCAATAGACTGATCTTAGTTTTGTTCTATATATACAAAGAAAGTGTTGTGACCTGTTATCGATTTTATACGGTTTTATGCCTCTTATACCGATCAACTATAGCCAAGTCTTCACTCGATTCAGAGTTCATAGTTTCAGCTATGTTTTATTTTATACTCTTTGGACTTAATAAAGCCTTTTAGCTGTTTCCATGGTTGTCCAAAATCTCAACCTCAGTTTCTTTAAGGTTTTTTTGAGGATTCGTTACCTTAATTAGGACATGTGAGTGGTTGCAACTGCTACTGTCTTTTTGGGGCAGTGAAAGTTTATATCTTCATTTCACCTTCCCTTAAAGATGTCTTCAAGAATTTTAGCTTTTAGTTTTTGGAAGGAATTTTCTTTTCTCTTTTACACTCTGGGAAAGTTTGTGGCGTAACAGTATGTGAGCTACCACAGTGGATAAGCTCTGATCTTCACAGAATCTAGTTCACTTCTTTTCATCACTTTGCAAAAATCAAGTCTCTACCCTCTCTGTTCTACTTCCATTTTTAGAAGCTATAATGCTATATTATCATTCAAGATGACATCGGTATAATATGTTAAAAAGATGGTAACACTTACCTAAACGTCCAGAACATCAAAGACTCCTTCCAAGGCAAATATCAATGAGCTAGAGCAATCATGCATTGAATCAGGCATTGCTTTATTGAGGAAGTCTTCGGGAGCTACCCGGTCAAAAGCAATGTAGTTTTCCACTTTTCCTCTTTGTTATATACATAACATTTAGTCCATATCATCGCCATCAAGCGCCAGTTCCATCCATGTATCAAGATTTGTATACTGCACAACGCTGCGCAAAATGAAAGATCAGTGACCAAGAAAAGAGTTTCTGTATTGTGGCTTGATGTTTCAAGTTTTGGACAGCGTCAAATTGTACATTTCTTCAATTCTCTTGCATAGCATCATGCAATAGCTCGATAGAGAACCTAAAATTTTGAAGCAGCTATTACCAATTAGGGTAGTCACAACGAACAGTTCCATTAAGCTCTGCTCCACTCCTCTGCAATAAGAAAGTGCAACAAGATCATGATGATGAAATAAAGTTCGAAGAACTCAAAACTCAGATTTAACTTTCAACATTAATACCAGCATGATAAGCTGAAGATTCTACTTCTCTTTCTTGATTCTTCTTATTCCTTGAAAGATTCCCTGCATCAGAAACAACCCACTCATAAACCTCTAATAGGCTAATAGCTAGTTAGTTTGCTTTCCATGTTCCTACAACAACCTGTTTAGCTTAATGTGACAGAATTGTCACTTTCTTTCTTTAAAGCTTCCCTAAATCACAGAAAAAGCTCAGATTTGATACAGAACTCAAACATACCAACTTCGTCAAGACTCAAGATCTTCACTAGTCCAAGGACACAAACTAAAGACGAAGTGTTACTGTTTTCTACTTTCGGACCAGTTTAAACATGAAGATGCCTACTGATTTACACCCATGGACTACGCAACGCAGGTAGCCATAGTCACTCAACAAAAGCAATCATACAACGATCAAAAAGCTCTGAACAGAATAAAAACTAGAATAGAAGCTGTATGAGGGATATTGCTGCTATGCCTGCAACAAGTTTGATAGGAACATAGCTGATTACCAACAAAGTAAGAATCCTCAACAAATCTCCCAAGGGTAGATACAGTAAGGCCATTGCACATCAACTACAGATCATGTATAGTTCGAGTTTTTTATATACACAAAATCTAGACTTAAAATCAAAGGAAAATATAGTCTTTGATCTAATAAAAACATAATTACAGTCTAAAGCGAGAATCTACGTCCTAGCATTCAACCTTGAAAGCAAGGACCGGAAAAGATTTGTTGAGGATCACCACACGGTCCTCCATTGAGGATCTCCAACAATCGAGATTGTCTTCTGCATTTCCTGTATATACTCCATATTTATAGGGGAATGTTACATTGCCTGACCCATTGGTGAACAAAATCGAGTTCCCACCCAAACCATGAGGAAGCTCCTGAGCCGAGCAAGAGATATTTCCCAAGTGCCCACCGACAAACAATACACGGTCACCCAAATCGCTGACCTCAACCCATTGACCAGCCTCCTCATCTAGCCTACTGACTCTACATGTTAATTTACCAACAGTTGGGAAGATTACTTCGACCAGGAAAAGTTCATCATTACCAAATGGAACCAGATAGTGTACTGGCGTCCGAGGTGAGGGCAACAGGAAAGTCACCTCCAGTGAATAAGGATCGATAACAACAGTTTCTCCGGAATGAAAAGTTGCATAAAATCTGCCTCTAAAAGTGATTAAATGCAAGCACGCAAAAAATAGGACGTTCTCAAGCCGCTTCCACCCCATTTCAGCACTTGTTAACACCAACAGAAAACTAGAGTAGTTGAGAAGCACAACGAACTCTCCTCCTTCTTTGTTTAGCGGAAGAAAAGCCACACCTTTGTAATCATCAGGATTGCAACCAATCATTCTGTACTGATAGCCCAGATGGAGGATATTGTAGTCGAGCATGTTCATCAAGGTTGGATCAGATCCTGGGAGTTTCACTTTCACTGAACATTGAAGGGGAGATGGAAGCTCCATATGATCATTTGATTTATCTCGGCCTATTCCTCCCATAAAATACTCAGCAACATCAGCATCAGGAGTTGAGGCTCTAAAGAGAAACAAAGGGATCTTCTCGAGGGTGAACAAGTCTTTGCTTTTGCGACGGAAATGAGTGAACATGGGAAGAGAGTAACTTGGGCGTAATAGGCAAGAAGGAAATGGAAATGTGGATCGCCATGAGCGGCAAACAGACCGAGCATGAACAACATTGAAACAGTTGTCAAGTTTATCGATGATAATGTGCAGTAGCTCTTCAGGGAGAAGAGACCATTCTGGCATTATCGATGATGTTGATGTCTTCTTCTTCGTTTCGGATTCTGCCATGTTTGCTGCTGAAGAAGACAGAAACTGCTGCAATTTCGAAAAATTAGAGCTTTTTTAAGGGTTTGGGAACAGAGAAGATGAATTGATTCAAAACTCTTCTTTGTTCACTATTGGAGAAGAAAACAAATAATTATTAGCTCCAAAGATCATAACTATCATAACGGCAACATTGATGAAATAACCCATAGATTGGTAACCCCATCAATGAAACTCCCTAGGCTAACTATAGTTGACTGGCGAGTATGTTCTCTCTTATGCCGTGCTCGGTTTCTTGAGTGCTGCAGATAATCTTATATGCTTATGAGTTATGACTATGCGTACCTCCCTGCATCGACTTCTTCTCTTTTGGCATCTTCGTCGCTTGCCTTCTCTGCTTTGTTTGGCTATCTCATTGTTAAAACCCCGCTGAATGCTTCAGTTATCAACTCCATTGTGATAATAACCGGTGTTATGGCTATAATAGCACTGGATTCAAGCTCTGATCGGTACAGTTATATAAGCAACAGCCAATACTTTGCAGGTTCCTTTTGGGACATAATGGGATCTGCGAGTTATATAATTGCCTGCAACAAGTTTGATAGGAACATAGCTGATTACCAACAAAGTAAGAATCCTCAACAAATATCCCAAGGCTAACTGTAGTAGACCATTCTTGTACAGATCATCTATAGGTCGAGTTTTCAAATACACAAAATCTAGACTTAAAATCATAAGAAAAAATAGTCTTTGATCTAATAAAAACAGAATAACAGTCTCAAGTGAGAATTTTTGCGGCCTAGCGTTCAACCTGGAAAGCAAGGACCGGAAAATATTTGTTGAGGATCATCACACGATTCTCCATTGAGGATCTCCAACAATTGATATCATCTTCTGCATTTCCTGTATTATGTACTCCATATTTATAGGGGAAAGTTACATTGCGTGGCCCAAGGGTGAACAAAATCGAGTTCCCAGTCAAACCACAACCCTGAGGAAGCTCCTTAGCGGAGCAGCAGAAATTTCCCCGGTGTCCACCAATAAACAAAACACGGTCTCCCAAATCGCTGACTTCGACCCATTTACCAGCCTCCTCATCTAGCCTACTCACTCTACATGTTGGGAAGTCTGTTTTAACCAGGAAAAGCTCATCATTTCCAGAAGGAATGAAAAAGTTGGATTCGTTATGAGGTGTTAGGGGAGTCGCTTCCAGCGAAGAAGGATCGATAACGAACTTGTCCCCATTAAAGAAAGATGCATAAAATCTGCCTCTAAAAGTGAATAACTCCCTACATGCAGCAGTTGAGAGTTCCTTAAGCTCCCTCCATCTCATTTCAGCACTTCTTAACACCAACCAAACATTAGTGTAGTTGAGGAGGAGCACAACAAATTCTCCTCCTTCCTTGTTTAGCGGAAGAAAAGACACACCTCCGCAATCTTTAGGAATGCAACCGATCATTCTGTACTGATGGCCTAAAGAGAGAATCTGACAGTCGAGTATGTTCATCAAGGTTGGCTCAGTTCCTGGAATCTTGACTTTCACTGAGCACTGAAGAGGAGATGGAAGCTCGAGATGATCATCTGACTCATCTCGGCCTATCCCACCCATAAAATACTCAGCAGCATCACCATCAGGAGCTCGGACTCTAAAGAGGAACAAAGGGACCTTCTCTAGGGTGCACAATTCTTTGCTTTCTAAAGGGTACTTGACAAATGAGGGAAGAGAGTAACGTGGGCGTAATAGGGAAGAAGGAAATGGAAATGCGGATCGCCACGAGGTGCAAACAGAGCGAGCGTGAACAACATCGAAACAGTTGTCCAGCTTCTTGGAGATAAGGTTCAGAAGCTCTTCAGGGAACTGAGACCAGTCTGGGTACAAAGATGATATCTTCTTCTTTTTCGTTGCCATGTTTGCTGCAATTTCGAAATCTGAAAGAAAATTAGAAAAAATTTCCAACTTTTTTTTTAGGGTTTACGAAAATTGTGTTAGTAACAAAGAAGATTTCATAATCCGTATGAATTTTTCAGCACAATCACATTTCATTATTGGAAAAATAAATAAACCCAACACCAAAAACATCAACGATTCGCTTGGTCGTATAGTCGTAGAGAAAAAGTTTGGAGCGATTCTGATTTTGCTTAGATAAAATTGAGTTTACAGAGAAAGAATGGCTTCCGCTATACCTGCTTTGTTGAACAAAAAGCACTGTCAATTGTGAAGTTTGGCTGAGTGGACTGTGGAAGACGACGGTCTAAAGGTGAAGGAAGGTCGGCAAAAGAGAAGAGGACATTGAAAGCTTCTGTTTGATAGAGAGACTTCGGATGAATTAAGAAGTAGAGGGAATCGAGAAATAACCAAACGAATTGGACCGGTTCAAATCAAATGAAGCCGGTTCCACCAATTTTTGATAACCGTAACAAAAAAAAACGAAATTGAGCACCTCATGCACCATTTAATCAGTACTAGGGTTTTGCTAAAGTTTCATTGCCAGAGCAAAGCAAAAAAAAGCTTTTGCCTTTGAATATATTTTTATGAGTTTGGTATGATTCGACACTTGGAGCTCAAGTCGCTGGAGTTGTTTTGCCATCTCCAAAGATTATCATAAGCTTTGGCAGAGAAGACAGGTGAGGAGACTTTGCTGGGTTTTCGCCTTTTTCTTTGATTTGTATGATTTATCAGGTTTTTTAAAGAAATTTTAGTGGAAAACTAATTTCCGAATCTTCAAAAACAAATTTTAAGATCTTACCAAAAAAATAAGAAAATAAGAAAAACATTTGTTTTGTTAATAATTTACAGGCATGCCATTGAATGAGTATACATATGATTTGCAGATTCTTCTTAAAACTCATGATAGATATATAGCCTTAAAAAAGGTATTACAAGTTCTTTCCTTTTTGATATTTGATCATCTCGTGGAGTTGTTTATTTTGTTCTTCAACCAACAAGTACAATTCTCTCTGCATCTGCGGAAAATAAAACATGCATATTCGATATAATTAGCAAAATAAAAATAAAAATGAGAGACTTTTTTTTAGTCTATCTATCAAATCATTATCACCAACATGCTCTCTTTATTCTTAAAGGCATTACATCTGATAACAAGTACCAAGAATTTGGTATAGCCATATAAATTAATAAATATATATATGGTTGCAAGAGATCTTAGTATTTGTAAATATATATGCCGAGGATGAAAGACAAACCTCTAATTGCTCTTGGAGATGTTTTCCTACTTCATCATGCAGTCTCATCAAGTCCTTGATTGTTGAATCCTTCTGATGAATATCATCTTCTTTGAATCTTGTTTCTGCATAATCATTAAAAAAAAAAAAAAAAAGAAGTTGAAGAATATTTATTGCTTAGTTTTGGGGGATCAATGAGTCAATGAGAGAGTTAACAATAAGATCTATGACTTTACCTTGTCTGGAATCTTGAACATGCTTCAGTGATCGATATTTCTGATTTGGATGAATACAAAAGGAGATTAGGTAAGAATGAATCATATATAATCTGAAATGGAAAAATGATGTGGTACTTACCTGAAGATGACTCTTGACATGGTAGATCGTCAATTCACGTGTTCTCATGAGATTTAAGATCCCCTTTGGTGTCGCTTCTACGAGTTCAAGAATAAATTGGGAAATAAAAGTTAAATTATGATTTATTCATTAACGAAATTAATCACACACGTATACGTATAGGGATATATGCATGATGAAGAGGTCATACTCATGTGGCCACCTAGGTGATTCACACACTCTACAAACTTGTTTTGAAGATCGATTGTCCACTTGATTCTTGTTTTGATGGAAGTTGAGCTTGTTAACTCAGAGGCGGATTCGAAACCCGAAAAGCTCCCTGATGGCTGTTCCTTCTGAGACCATGAACCTTGATTATTATTTATTTATTTTTACTCATTCTCTATATGCTGTCAATGCATACAAACTAATTAGTACATTCTCTACCATAAATTCATTTAACAAATATTAACCTACTTAACTTAGGCCCGGCGTGAAGGAATTATATATGGGTCGAAGATCCAAAACGTCTTTAAAACAAGTGTAATTCGAGTATTAGACAAGATATATTCAAGATCCTTAAACTATAAATGAGCACTATGATAACTTTTGAGTATATTTCTATTTATCTTGTGGTCGAAACAAGGAAAGAGATCAACGAAGAAAATTATTTACCTCTGAAAATTGTGTTTCCACACTGTCCAAAGATTGCTTTGAAAGCGAAGTGGTCCGTTTTGTATCGGTTGAAAAAAGTTCGGAGATATCGTAGCATTTGCAGCAATGAATAAAGTGTTTACTACAGCTCTCATTCGAAGAATCATTTTCGGATGTTTGTCCTCTTCCAAACTTCATTCGATCGGTATCTACTTTTTTGTTTACGGTGAAACTCTTTTGGGATCCAAGACGTGTTATCGGCATTAAGATTTGACTTTTTATTTAACGATTAAATACGCTGCATGTTGAAGGGAAACAATCTTCAGATGAAGTAAAATATAATGAGCTTCACCGCGAAATTATAAACGAGTTTTAATAATTGAGAGGACATAATATAAGTTAATGATTTGATTGAATGACGACATTGTGACACTATAATGGTGAAACTTCCATAACGACATTGTGCCACTTTTTTCCATGCATGTCAGTCACCTCCTCATAAATTACAAAAAAAAAAAAGAACGAAGATATTCGAAAATTTCGATTTGATTTTCAAGTCGCTCTCTATAACTTCTAGGGCCACAAGCTCACTTAATTTTCGAGCCTGTTATAGAAAAAGAATTTGTTGATTTTTTTAGAAACAAGTTAAAAGGGTGGAAAATGGAAGATTTTGGGATTTGAACCCATGATATTTTTAGAGTTATATCGCTTTCGCTTTGCTTCTACCACCACAACCAATGAATTTTTTGATAAATGAGGCTGACTAACGACTATATATTTTGGAGGCCACAAGCAGATGCTTCACATGCTTGTGGCTAGGGCCGGCTCTGCTCTCACATACCGGAAGAGACGCATGTGATCGAGGATTTTGAGTTATCTGCCGTTGACGGCCCATTCTCGGACGTCCTTTGAAAGGCTTCTAGTGTTATCTTTCTTTCGCAATTCGGCTCCTTCTCCTTGCAGTTCTCTTCTTCTCCAACAAAAATCCGGGGAGAGCAATCAAAATCGTCATCGCTTCATCTAACTCTTTTAGCTTCATCGCTTTTGTTGAGAGGATGGACCGAATTCTAGTTATGGTTTATGCTTCCATGTTTTTACTTTTTTGCCATGGGACCATTTGTGTAGGTCTATAATCATCGTCGATTGTAAACCTAAAACGTTTTCATTTTTATGAAATATTTACATTTTTAGCAGAAAAAAAAAAGATATTCGAAAATTAAAGAATCTTCTAACATTACATAAACACAACTTAATTTTCAATTAAATAATGTAACATAAGAAGCCCAATTGCTTAAGTTTATATATTAGAGGATATGGATTGAACAAAAGTAAATGAATTTAGGCTTTAACCAGACCAGCCCAAGACACAGCCCAGCTAGTTGTAACCTAAACATATTTGATGCGAAAAAAAAAAAAAACATTTGACAACAAAATTCTCAAAAATACTCCGACCCATCAGGCCCACTAGAACTTCTCAACCAGCACAAAAAAGGAAATCGAATGAACCATTCAATTGGGACATTAAGACCATTCCCAATGGGGGGATTCTACGATGAGTAAAGTTCCGAAGCAAGTGTAGTAGCACATGTGTAAGTTTTATTTGTAATAAGTATCGGAAGCATGTGTAGTAGCACATGCCTAGGTTTTATTTCTTTAGTTAGTGAGGTTTATTTATTATACGTGGTATAATTATGCGATCCTCGGTTATACGTTAAGTCGTATGATCGGGTTACTATTAATCTTGCTTGTGTTGATGCTTGAATAATGATTGCTTGGTAATACAATGTGGTTAGGATAGCCAATAGTGTAACTGTTACTCTGTCCGTTTTTCTGTATAACCGTTATGCTGCTGGTAAGTCAGTAAGACTGTTATACGAGGGCAGTTATACTATTGTATAACAGTCATAAGACAAAAATTTTGACCCCCAAAAAACCCGCCCCGCAAAATCCGTGGGAGAAAAATACTAGACCCGCATCCGCCCTGCTTAATTTTGCGGGAGCCGCGGGTAACCCGCAGGCTTTTAAAAACTTACTTTTTAAATATTTATAAATTATATTTAAAACAAAAATATAATTAATAATAATTTTAAATATAAATACACATATTTTAAAAAAAAATTTAATTTTTTTTAATTATTTTAGATATATTACGAATTATTTTAATATTTTACAACTATATATTAGATAAATTTATATATAATTATATTTTTTTTTTGAAAAGCCCGCGGGACCCGCGGGTTTACCCGTAAAAACCCGCAATTTATAAAACCAACCCGTATCCGCCCCGCTTTTTTGCATTTTGAAATTTTTAGACCCGCACCCGCCCCGCAGCGGGACGGTCGAGGCGGAGCCCGCGGGCTTTGCTTCAAATTGACAGGCCTAGTCACAATGAACATTTCCATTAAATTTCGTTCTACTTCTCTGCAATAAGAAAGTGCAATAGGATCAGGATCAACATTAGGAGTGAACTGAAGTAAAAGAACGAGCATGATCTGCTGAAGACTCTGCTTCTCTCTCTTGATTCTTCTTATCCCTTGAAAGATTCACTGCTTCAGAAACAACCACCATAAACCTATAATAGCACTTTCCATGTTCCTACAACAACCTGTTTTGTTTATTGCGACAGAATTTTAACTTTATCCATATTGTCTTGATCATCACTTTCTTTATAGAAAGCTTCCCTGAATCACTGAAAAAGCTACATAGTCAAACAAGTACCAACTTTGTCAAGATCTTCCCTATTTTTACCCATGGACTACACTATGTAGGTCCTACTATTTTATACTACTGCCATAGTCACTCAACAAGAAGAATCTACGACTATCAAAAGGCTCTGAACGGAATTAAATAAGCGAGGATAGATCAGCTGGTTGAGGGTATGGCATAGTGGACGACATTGCTGGCTTGCTGCTCTACGTGCAACAAGTTTGATAAGAACACAACTGAATTCTAGAGCTTCCAGACGAGTACTTAGAGTTAGAACCCCAATAATTCTAGGCTAACTATGGTAGACTTGCCTAACACTAACAAGAATGCCTGATCAAAAGTTACCATTCAGGTGGCTTGGCTTGCCACAGGTTAGAGGCCACTGCACATCTGCCACAGATCAAGTTTTGATATGATTTGGGAAATGTTTTGTCAGAAACGAGACCAAGAACACAGTCAGACACAACTTTGAGAGTATGGAACTGACACCTCAGGTGAGGGTAACAAAAGAATCAACTCCAGCGAATAAGGATCGATAACGACAATTTTACTGGAATGAAAAATGTTGCATAAAATCTGCCTCTAAAAGTGACTAAATCCTTGCATAAATCATGTGGGATGTTCTTGAGCTGCTTCCACCTCATTTCGACACTTGTTAACACCATTAAATCGTTAAAGCAGTTAAGAAGCACAACAAATTCTCCTCCTCTTCCCTCCTTGTCTAGCGGAAGGAAAGCCACGGGACTAGATTCCAACCCGATCATTCTGTACTGATGGCCTAGAGGGAGGATCTGGTAGTCGAGCATGTTCACCAGTGGCGGATCTAGAAACAAGTTTTATAAGGGTCATTTGGAAGTTAGAACAAAAATCTATAGGGTTCAAACACTAATTTTAACCAAATATTTCTTCAAATTCAATCAAATTTACAATAAAAATAATATATTAAATTTAGTGGGGTCATATGACCCCACTCACCCCTTCTTACCTCCGCCAATTGTTCACCAAGGTTGGATCAGATTCTCAACAATTTTGTCATCAAAGCCTAAGCATAGAGCATTTCTCAAACAGAAAAATCTAGTTACAAAAGGGAATCAAATAAGCGAGATAAACCTATAATAGCACTTTCCATGTCACAGAAATAGTTAAAGCTGAACGCTGCAACAGACATTGTTTTGATAAGCATGCAATAGCTTGATACATAAACTAAACACTTGAAGAAGCACAAGATGCATTACCAAGTAAGGGTAATCACAATGAACAGTTCCATTAAGCTTTGTTATACTTCTCTGCAATAAGAAAGTGCAACAGGATCAGGATCATGAAAAAATAATGTTCGAAGAACTCAAAAGTGAGATTTGACTTCAACATTAGGAGTGAACTGAAGTAAAAGAACCATCATGATTTGCTGAAGACTCTGCTTCTCTCTCTTGATTCTTCTTATCCCTTGAAAGATTCACTTCATCAGAAACAACCCACCCATAAACCTATAATAGCACTTTCCATGTTCCTACAACAACCTGTTTTGTTTATTGCGATAGATTTTAACTTTATCCATGTTGTCCTGATCATCACTTTCTTTATAGAAGCTTCCCTGAATCACTGAAAAAGCTCAAATTTGCTACATTACTAAAGTTTGTCAAGATCTTCACTATCCCCAGGACATAAACTATAGCAAAAGGATTAGTCTTTGCTGCTTTTTGGACCAGTTTAAACATGGAGACGCCTACAGATTTTACACAATCATTATGCTACACCAGAATATAGTAGCAATTGTCTCACTCAACAAAAGAAATACTACAATGATCAAAAGGCTATAAACAGAGTCAACAACAAGAATAGCTGAGGATATAGCATAAAGGACGACGTTGCTGCTATGCTTGCAACAAGTTTAATAAGAACACAACTGAATTCTAGAGCTTCAAAACAAAGTAAGAATCCCCAACAAATCCCTAGGCTAACTAACAAGAATGCCTCATCAAAGTTACCATTAATGCACACGACAGGAGGTCATTACGCATCTGCTACCGAACGAGTATGTACAGTTCGAGTTTTCAAATGATTTTGAAGAATTTTTGTCAGAAACATGACCAAGAACACAATCAGACACAACTTTGAGAGTTCATGAGACAAAAGACATAGTTGTTTGGTCTTGAGAAGGTAGTCAGACAAAAGATAGTTTAGAACAACAAATATATAAAAACTTAAATACCTAAAATCATAAAAAATAAAATTTTGTTTTTGATCTCTAAAAAAACAGAATGTCAGATATCAAAAGCGAGATTTTATGATCATCAGATGTCAGATATCACGTTGCCTGCCTTCTTGGTGAACGCAATCAAGTTCCCTTTCAAACCATGACGAAGCTCCTCAGATGAGCAGCAGAATTTTCCCAGGTGTCCACCAATAAACAAAACACAGTTTCCCAAATCGCTGACCTCAACCTATGTACCAGCCTTCTCATCTAGCCTACTCACTCTATATGTTGATCGACTATTAACAACAATTGGCTCAACCAGGAAAAGTTCATCATTGCCAGATGGAACCAAATAGGGTACTGGCACCTTAGGTGAGGGCAACAAAAGAGTCACCTCCAACGAATAAGGATCGATAGCAACAATTTTTCCGGAAATAAAAGTTGCATAAAATCTGCCTCTAAAAGTGAGTACATCCTTGCATAAATCATGTGGGATGTACTTGAGCTGCTTCCATCTCATTTCGACACTTGCTAACACCATTAAATCACTAATGCAGTTAATAAGCACAATGAATTCTCCTCTTTTTTCCTTCTTGTCTAGAAGAAGGAAAGCAACGCGATTACAGTTCCAACCGGGTATTCTGTACTGATGGCCGAGAGCGAGTACCTGGCAGTCGAGCATGTTCATCAAGGTTGGATAAGATCCCTGAATCTTGATTTTCACTGCGCACTGAAGAGGAGATGGAAGTTCCACATGATCCTCCGACTCATCTCGGCTTATCCGTCCCAGGAAATACTCAGAATTCGACCCAGCAGCAGCAGGAATTGGGACTCTCAAGAGAAACAAAGGGACCTTCTCGAGGGTACACAAGTCCTTCAATTGTGAATGAAACTTGGGAAGAGAATAGCTTTGGCGTAATAGGGAAGAAGGAAATGGAAATGTGGATCGCCACAAGCTGCAAACAGAGCGAGCATGAACAACATCAAAACAGTTCTTTAGATGCGTCGAGATAAGGTGCAGTAACTCTTCCGGGAGCTGAGACAAGTCTGGCTTTATCGATGTTGTTGATGTCTTCTTCCTCGTTTTGGGTTCTGCCATGTTTGCTGATGATGAAGACAGAAATTAAAGTTGCTGCTGCAATTTCGAAATCCGAAATAAAAATTACTTTTTTTAGGGTTTTGGAACAGAGAAGATTTAAGCTCATTTGAATTGATTCTACAGCAAAATCGCATGGCAATAATGGTAAAAGACAAAACCAATGATGATGTCGAACACGACAAATGAGGATCATCACACTATTCTCCCTTGAGGATCTCCATCAATTGAGATCTTTTACCACATTTCTTTTATAGTATAAAAATGCATGGCCTGACTTATCGGTGAACAAAACTGCGTTCTTCGTCAAACCAAAACCATGAGGAAATTCCTTAGCTGAGCAAGAGAGATTTCCAAGCAACAATACACAGTCTCCCAAATCACTGACCTCAACCCATTTACCAGCCTCCTCATCTAGCCTCCTCACTATACGGGTTAACCGACTCAAGTCTATTACACGATCTTCTGGGATAATTACCTCAACCAGGAAAAGTTCATCTTTGCCATATGGAACCAGAGACTGTAATCCTCGCTCAGACTCCTGAGGTGAGGGCAATAGGAGAGTCACCTCCAGTGAATAAGGATCGATAACGAAAAATTTTCCTGAAAGAAAATGTGCATAAAATCTGCCTCTAAAAGTGACTATATCAAAGCATCTAGCATTTGGGACGTTCTCAAGCTGCTTCCACCTCATTTCAGCACTTTTTAACACCAGCAAACCGAAAGAGTATTTGAGAAGCACAACAAATTCTCCTCTTTTACCCTCCTTGTCTAACCGAAGAAAGGCCACACGATTATATTCCCAACCGATCATTCTGTACTTATGGCCCAAAGGGATGATCTTTTTTGGAACAGATGCTGGGATCTTCACTTTCACTAAACATTGAAGAGCATCGGAAAGCTGATCATCAGCAATAGCAGGAGTTGGGACTCTAATAAAGAGGAACTTAGGGACCTTCTCGAGGGTGCACAGGCCTTTGCTTTCTAAAGGGAAGTCGCCGAATGCGGGAAGAGAGTAACTTGGGCGTAATACGGGAGACAGAGGAAGTGTGGATCGCCACAAGCTGCAAACAGAGCGAGCATGTACAAACAGACCAGTCTGGCATTATCGATGTCTTCTTCTTCGTTTCGGGTTCTACCATGTTTGATAATGGACACTGAAATTTCCAAATCTGAAATAAAAATGACAATTTTTTTAGGGCTTTGGAACAGAGAAGATTAAAGACCAAAAACTAATTTACATTTGAACTGATTCTACTGCAAATCGCGTTGAAATATTGGAAAAACAAAAACACCGAAGATTCACTTGGATTAAAGAGAAAGGATCGTACCGTAACTTGGAGCCCAAGGTTTGAAGAATTTGAAGGAAGAAAGAGTGATTTTGATAAAGCTTAGAGAAATTGAGCATACAGAGGAAGAATCGCTTCCTCTATAGCCTGATTTTTTGAACAACAACCAAAAAAGCCACAATATCTGGCAATTTAGTAGTGGATCGATTGTGAAGTTTGGCCAAGTCTGGGAGACGAGAAGTTTTGGGCAAGGAAGAGAAGAGAGACTTGGGACATGAATTGAGCAAGAGATGGAATTCGGTTCGGGGTTGAATCGGGAAAGAACCGAAGGAATATGCCGGTTTAAATCAAGTGAAGCTAATTAAGAATCCGCAATGACCAGCCCAGACCATAATGTTTGTTTGGGACAAGCCCATAGAGTTTAAGCCCAAAACAACTTGACAAGAATTAGATTGAACCATAATAAGGGAAGTTTGTCTTTACTTGAACCATGAAGACAAAGGAGAGTGAAGCGATGAAATGAAGAATGAAGAATCGATTAACCGATGGAAGGTCCAAGCCGGTAACGTAGTGCAGAAGAGTTATGATCGAGCATTATGAGCAGTGGAGATAGGCAAATGGGAATGAGGACATGCAGAGCCGGCCCTAGACACAAGCTGGTGAGGCATGTGCTTGTGGCCCCAAAAATATATAGTTCTTAATCGGCCTCATTTACATAAAAGTCTCTTTAGTCTAGTGGTTTAAAGATGTGGAAATATTACTAAGGTCTCAAGTTCGAATCTTTACTGTAACACATTTTACCTGTTTTAATTTCTTTTCCTTTGTTTACAATATAGTTCGGCCCAAACATTATATTGGGCTTGTGGCCCCAGTTTATCATAAGAATGGCCCCAAACATTATATAGGACATGAATTGTATAAGTATAAAAACATAAGAGATAGGCTTTAAGTTTTTTAAGTGTTTGGATTTGAGTTATAAACGTGTGTGTAGTGATCATAAAACGGTACTGGTGTCAAGTTAAGAAGGTGTTTTAGTATCGAGTAGTTCTATTCCACTTAAACAAAATGTTATTGTAAAATTGTTAAATAAATTCTAGTGAATGTATAAAGACGTACGTACCTCTTTAAATTTTGCATGTGCTCAGATTCCTTCTTTTTTACAGAATTTTTATATTCTTCAAACTGATCATAACCTAATATTTGAGATTTGTGCGATCCAATAAATATCTAAAATCTTGGGTTCAATATTTGATAAATTATCTCACGCTACAATATAATGTAATGCAGTGTTACCTAGCTAAATGAAAACCCAATACTAAATTTTTCTTTCTTTCTAGCCTACGATATTCAGATAAAAGAAACCAACTTTATTATATCGAAAATAAAACATTGCAACCATATATTTAAAAAAAAGAAAAGGAAATGTCCCTTTGAGTGGTTTTGTAGTAGTAGGTAAAAGAACCAAAACTCTACGAAAAATACGGCTTCGTTCAGAGAACACATCAAACAACCTCAACCTCATTCTTCGTAGACTTTGACTTTATCTCCCACTTCACCCCACTTTCTCTTTGTTTTTGGTATCTCTTTGCCTAATCCCAAAAGTAAACGGCCGTTATCACGGTTTCGAAACGGATACAGCCTCTTTAACGGCGATCGACGAAGACCCCTTGGTCACGCCGTTACCGTTACCATTTAACTTCCCATTACCGTTACCCATTGTCGTTGTATTCGTCGACTGTATGGTCATACCGGAAAGATTGGGAGAGGAAGGACCTCCGACGTCCGCGACAGGTCCAGGGATCAAAGGGTTACGAGAGTGACACGTGGCGGTTGAGATGGCGGTGGCTAAAGAGATTGGCATGAGACAAAGACCTTTCCCTTGAAGGTATTGCATGGCCGAGCCCATGTCTTCTTCCATTAGCTTCGCCACTTGATGTTCCGTCATTGTAATGCTGTCGTTGGAGTTTCCGGCCGTCTGGCTACCGCCGGCCATGGCGGAGGATGCGTTCCCGTGGGATCCACCAGCCTAATTAAGCAAAAAAAACGAAAAACAAAAAAACATTTTTAAAAAGAAAAGACAAAGAAAGCGAAACCCTAAGTGATTAGTCGGCACGCGTGCTCTCTTTTTTCTCTATCTTAGAATTATACTTAGAATTGGTCTTATTTATTTCTGTTTCTAGAAACTTTTTACATTTATTTTGTTTTCAATGTCTGGCACGATTTATCTATTTTTGACACACACGAAAAGAATATATGTAACGAATGATGTATCTAAATAACATTATAAAAAAAAAGTACTTTTCTAGTTTCTTAACAATTGGCTTTGATGTTTATTGGAATTTATGAAAAATGAGTAGAGAGAATATTAATTACCTCGGAGAGTTGAGAAGAAACGGAAGCAGCACCTCCCAATCTGCTCATGCTCAGTACCTAAAACGCATAATTAAATTCAAAACAGAATTATTAATTAAGTACACTGGTCCACTACTTTATAACATAAATATACATTATGTAATGTTATAAATATACTACTTTATAACATAAATATACATTATGTAATGTGTGTATATGTCGTAACAATCCAAAAATGTATAAAGTTAAATATAAAAAAAAATGGGGAGGGAGCATAAGGAATTTTAGTTGCAGAGGCCCATAAATTTGATTTATTGGTATGTAAAGATTGTACTAATATGCAGCTTTTCTTTTTGTTTGATATGTCAAACTAAAAGGCAAAACAAGAATCTTCCATCAATGTTTTGAAGAGATTAAAATAAATCAAATTGTACTTTGTAAAAGAATTACCTCTTATATTAAAAATAAAACCAAATAAAATAATAACTGTAAAATATATGAGAGAGGGAGAGATTCACCTTGACTTGAAGTTGTAAAAACTTGACATAATCTATAATCTCATCGAGCATCGATGCCTTGTCTGTCTGGTCCATTATTATTTAAATAAAATACAAAAAAAAAAATCTGTCAGAACTGAGATCCTAACTCATTAATTACTGCATTAGTTAACTTTATTATTGTAGCCTAATTAATTAGCTAATCAGTGTTTAATCATTTGATTGATATATACTACTAGCTACTCCTATATATATAGACTACACAACCACCAATTATTTGAGTAAAACAAAAAATATAAATTTACTTGTTAACTCCTGAAAGTTCTAGTTGACAGCTCCAAGAAAGTTCCTGATGACACTTATTTTCATTATTTATTTTGTTTTTACTGATTCAATCTTAGGTATAGAAGACTAGAACTATAAAGAGACAATGGAGTTTAAATTGTAAATAATCAATACAAAATTAGATGGAATTATGGATCGCACAAATCCAGAGTGGATGATGAACAAAATGATGGAAAGTGACATTTATTTTCTTAATGATCCATTTGGAAACTAAACTGAAAATGAATTAAATAAAAAAATTACCTTATTGCCGTTAGGAACGAGTTCTTGAAGAGCTTTCATTCTTTCCGCAATTCTCTCTCTTCGTAACTGTCCCATAAAAACATTTTTCTCAGAAAATACTCAAAAACTTTTCTCAAAAAAAACTTTAAAATTTCATTTTCGACACTTTTCTCGGTAACTGATACAAATTAATGCATCGAACCACAAAAAAAAAAAAAAAACTAACCCTTTCGGCGATACTATGAGGATCAGTTGCTTGACCTCTCCTAGCTCGAACTTTAGTCCTACTCTGCGGCGGAACCGCCACCGTACCACCAGTAGCTGTAGACGCGCTCGCCTGCGGTTGCGTTTGCGTTTGCGTTTGTCCTTGTTGGTTCATCAACCCTCCTCCCGATCCCTATATTTCATCATAAGTTACATTTTCAAAGAGAGAAAAATATAAAAGAGAGAGAGAGATTATTTATACCTGAGGGATATGGAAGTTAGGAAGAGATCCGGAGGCGGAGAAGCTATTATAAAGAGCGTGGACGGAGGAGCCATCATTCAAAGGCATCATCATGATCTGTTGATTTCTTGAGTCGACGTCGTGGCCGTGGAAGCCATCGGAGGGAGGAGGATGAGCATCGTCTACGACGGAGGGCCACGGGGAGGAGGAAAAGATTTGATCGAGGAAGTCTTCGTGGTCAAAAGTCGTAGATGGAGTTTGGATATGGGAAGAAGATGAAGAAGAAGGAGTTAGAAGAGAAGAGTTCATCATAATGATGATGGGCTTCTTCTGCTTCTACACTTTTTTTTGGGAAGAGGTTGAAAATGTTGTGGTTTGGCTTTATAATAAAGAAGATCATTGTTGTAGTCTTGTAGATGTATATTATTTTTAATTTTTGGTAATATTTAAAAACCAAAAAAAAAGAAAAACTTTTGTTTTTAATTTTTTATATATTGTGGTTAGCAACCCATATTATACGGTGATGATTATCGTCGCTTCTTTAATTTCGTTTCCGTCTTAAACTTTGGTTTCTCGTTACTCCAAGTCTTAATCATTATCTTTTACAGCTTAATACGTATGAAAATGAGGTTTTTTTTTTTTTTTTTTTAATGTATTGATGTACATATTGCTACTGCCAACTAAAGAGTTTTGATTATATTTACTTACATTTTTTCAGATGCAAACTAACTTCATTTTACAATACAAATATATAATAAAAAAAATTGATGGATGAGAAGTTTAGTTATAGGGATATTTTTATGGTGCTAACTATAATATTCTCTCCGTTTCGTTTTACTTGTCGTTTTAGAGTTAAAATTTTGTTTCATAATAGTTGTCGTTTTAGGTTTTCGATACAAATTTTTGGTGAAAATTTTAATTTTATCCCTACTGTTTTAATGTTTCGGCTAATGAATTTTTTTTATAAAATATATTAATAAAGAATAAAATAGAAAATTTAATGCTTTTCTTAATTTGTGTGAGAAAACCTTAAACGACAACTAAAACGAAACGGAGAGAGTAGTTGTATACAACAAATGTTGTCTTAGAAAATAATACTCCCTCTGTTCCTCAAAGTTTGATGTTTTAGTATTTTACGTTTGTTCCACAAAGATTGATTTTCTAGCTTTTTATTTTATTTTTTATTAATTGATATTAACAAATCGTAGATTTCAAGACGTAATGATTACAAATAATTAACTGTTTTAGATTACTATTGTTTCATAGATTATTAAAAAAAATTAATAAAAAGAAAAAATTATTAAATGATTAAATCATGATTGTTTCTTAATATATGTGTAAACTCTAAAAAATCAAACTTTCAGGAACAGAGTGAGTAATTGTTTAGCAATTTTATTATATGGTGATGATGGCAAGCGCCGATGATTATCCGTGCCTCTCTTACGTTTTAATTTGTGGCTTCTACATATTCTAAATCTTTATAATAGTATTAAATATCTGATATTTTTTCTTTTAATAAATATTTAATTTTTTAAGTGCCTTATTAGGGTTTTTTTTTTTTTTTTTTTACAGCAAATATAGTTCATTCATTCAAGCTAAAAACAGATCGTTCTCTTCAGGAGAAAACCAGTCTGGAGTTACATAGCTTACATAGGGAAAAATACCACCACGTGATCGTGCCTTTTTTGCAAGGCCGTCAGCACGAATATTATCAGTATGTGGGATAAAAGCTAAAATAAAAGGAAAAAATGATGACTTCAAGGAACTAAAATCTTCTAACTCCGACGAAAAAGCAGGCCACTCATCGGGAGTGTCTAAACCCTGTGTTAACTTCAAACAATTTGTCTCAAAAGCAACTTCAAAAAGAGAGAGTAAGATAAGGGACCTCATTGCCCAGAGGAGAGACTCAAACTCTGCGTGGAGAGGGGATAAACATCTGCGAAAACTCTTCAAACCAAGATGAATTATGGCTCTATTCGATTTCACAATCCAGCCAACACCGCTTAAGGTGCAAGAATCCACCCAAGATCCATCAACCTGGCAAACCACTTTGTCTGACGATGGTGGCTCTAAAGGAGGAGGGACTACCTTGGGCGAGATAATTAGGTCTTGGGCTCGTGCTACTCGGAAGGCTTCTGCTTCATTCGATGCGTGTTGGACCGTGTCAGCAGGATGGGTATCCTTGTTTTCAAAGACCTTAGAGTTACGGGCCTTCCAAATGAACCACATGATCCAAGGAAAAATCAGAATAACTTCTTTGCTTCCTCCTAGCTCCTTCGCTCTCCAAAAAAGGTAGTCTAAATTCGTAAACAGAGAAGGCGATGGGAAGACACCCTGTCTAATGGGGATATGAGATAACGACCACACCTGAAAAGCAAGGGGGAACTCAAACAGGACATGATTAAAGGTCTCTTCTTCCATCCAGCAGCGGGGACACATTTGATCCGTACTTAGGTGACGATCAGCTAATCGTTGACATGTAGCTAGACATCCCGTGGCAGATTGCCAGAGGAAATGTTTAATTTTCTTGAGGTTGAGATTTTCTATGATTGTGCTTGAAGTGCAGTAACATTTGGTCCCTGAAAAGGGAGGTCACAATCCCCTCGCCGGCTTGCATTCGCAGCCAAATAACCCGACTTAACGGTATAACTACCAGACTTGGTATGAGCCCAGATAAATAAATCTCTCGAGAATGAAGAACTCGGATGTAGCCCTAAGATATGAGGGATGTCGTCATGTGCAATTAGCTCTCGAAGTCTGTCGACCTTCCATCCTTTCGAGACAGGATCTATGAGATCATTAACAAAGAGGTTGGGATCCGTGACTGCTAATCTACTTTTAGCTGGACGAGCCAGGATAGTCGGAATCCAAGGGTCGGAACAAACCCGAGTGTCAAAACCTGAGCCGATGTTTTTCCTTAACCCATACAAAAGGAGGGGTCTAGCTGCTCGAATGCTGCGCCAACCATAGGAAGGCCGATAAGATGGTTTGACGTAGAGAGGGCTAGAGTACCTGAAGTATCGACCCCTTAGCACACGAGCCAGTAGGGAGTTTGGGAAATTGAAAAAAAAAAACTATAAATCACATCTACATTATTATTTAAACCACACATCCCTAAATATATGTTTCTTGGAGTCTACCCAGAATCGGTCCCAAACCACCTAAGTGTTACCCAATGGTGAATCTACTTGACAATCTATGGATTTACCTAAGCTTTCAAATTCACAGGCAAGCCAACCATTTTAAGGAGACTGATCGAAAAATATTGGCTTTGGATTGAAGTAGTTTAGGAGATGGCCAAGATAGGACAATCTCTGGTCGTTTATCCATATGTATGACCAGTTTCAAACCCATTTACTTCTAACCGCGCCAAAAGCACATGTGGTCCATCTTGGTGAGCTAATTAGTTGTACAAGGTGCTACAAATTTGTTCACAAATCGATTACATCCGATCTTAGACCTAAATTTTTTTCAAATGGTCATACCCATACCCATTTATGAAAAAAAAATTCATTCCATTTGTTTTAGTTCCTCCCCGAAATATGAAAATCTGGAGTTCCTCTACTTCATAAAAAAGACTTTCTCGCACATCCTCAGTTGTATATGTTCAATTCATAATACACGACTGAAAATTTTATATTATTTTCTCATTGTTTGAAATGTTATAAGAAAATTTAGAATTTCCGCTATTGATCATTCACTAAATTATGTATAATAAAAAATTTCTCATAAATGAAACATATTATATATATATATATATATATATATATATATATATTAATACAATCTGAAAATGAAATATTACATTCATGTTTTTATAATCTTTTCACGATGACAATTGACAAATATCTAAAATTATAAAAACTCGAATAGGTACATTCATCAATGATGCTAGAGCTCTCTCGAAATTCTACTGTTTTTTCTTTGTCTCCAAGATCACAAACATCCTATCCCAAAGACGATACTCGTAAATTAAAAATCACAAAATACGATAATAAATTTATAAAAGGAAATTCCGTACCAATATGATAACTTATCTTTTGAGCTAATCACGACTTGGAGCTTTTCTTTCTTTATAACTAGATAGATATTCTTCTTCTTCTTCTTCTTTTTTTTTTCTTTTTTTTTTTGTATAGCTGAAAACTAGGTATTTCTTTATATTGTGCCACATTCACCATATATACTCTTTTTGGGATAAATAATTAAATTGAAATATTTCCGGATGTTTGAGACTTCTTCTTTTGGATCCATTAATTAATTCATATACGGTTTCGAGGTCTGTATTTTGTAGTCAGAAATATTTTTTTCCTTTTTCCATTAATTGCTAACATGAACACATTTTAATGAAACAAACTTCTATATAGCATATGTGTGGCTGTGTGCATGTATCTTCTCATGTTATAATGCACACTCATGCATATATCTATGTATTGGTTCGTATACCGTGGAATTATTTCATTGAATAATATTCCCAAGTCACAATTCTTTCAAAATTTTAATTTAACGATTAAACAAACGTATATAGGCTCATCTACGTTCATGTATGTCTACGTATGTGCATGTGTGTATTGCATATATACGCATATAAAATACGTAACATGCATATCGAGCTTTATAAGTTATATATGTATATCCAACAATCTAAAGGGACACGTCTTGTGTTGGCGTGTTCACTTTCCACTATCCGAGTTATAGGTTTCAAAATGATAAAATTTTATTTTCGGTTAATCGATAGAATGTTATAGTTTTGTGTTACTCAAAAGTGACGTATCTCTATATTAGAAGCCTCAAACTTTCACACTTCTTTCAAATTTAGTAACACAATCTCTACGGCGATTAAGAGAGTAGAACAACCCATATTAAAAAAAGAAAAAATAGAACAACCCATAATCATTTTTAAATTATTATATCATTACTTTTTATGAACAAAAGAAACTTATAGTTATTTTAGAACATGTGCAGTGGGAGGTTCTCTCAAAGTCTCTCAAAATATATTATTATAATATACATAAATTAATTTAAATGTATAATTAAATTTTACGTAATAAATTTTATTTAAAACCAATTACATGTTGACATGTGTGACATGAGTCTCTCAAGAAGTTCTCTAATCCATGCTCATGTTTTTCACTTACTTTTTATTATTTTTATTTTTTATATTCTTGAGAACACTTGTGAGAATTTTCCACTACATATGCTCTTAAGGGTTTGTTAGAAAGATAAACAATGAGGGAAGATAAATTAACTTCAGAGTGTAAATGGTAACATGAAAAAAATATTCAGCCAGATTCAGCAATTCCGCAGTTACCATTTGCATAAAACTAAATTCAGCCAGATTCAACAGTTTTTCCAACATCAACAGATACATAGTATGTTCATTTCAGATAAAAATTTGGATTATAGCTATTCACAACTCAAATTAAAATATTTTTGGCTATTAAAAATTACACATCAAATTTATATTTTAAAATAAGTTAGATCATACAAATACGATATATGAATAATTCATACACATAAAATCATTACCAGAATAGACAAGAGACATATTTATGTTCAAATATCTATAGATAATTTTAGATAATTTTAATAAATTTTAGATACTGAAATATAATTTTCCAAAGTTTTGCAAAAATAACTCATACTTATGCTAAAATAATATTTAAAATATCAAATTAAAAAAAATTGTTAATCATCCTAATCATATTAAGGATTTAAACTACTAGAGAACAATGAAAAATCAATAAGATAATCTATACTATATTATCATGTTTATTTTTAAATTAATTTTTCAATAAAACTTTGACAAAACTTTCGATTAATTAATTATATCTTTTTAATAGTTCAAAAATTAGATTTGGAAGAACAACTCAATTTTGATAAAAAGATATTAATTCTAGTATTTATTTATTGGTATAAGAGTTAATTAGACAATTAGATAATTTTATCTATTTCATTTAGATATTTTTCTTTAGTTATTCTATTAATATTCGTAATTATTTGACGATATTTCAGTTAAAGTCTTAATTATTTCGACAGATTCTGCTGAAAAGCACAAAAAAATTCAGCTAGATTCAGCGGTTACCATTTGAAAATATAAAAATTCAGCCAGATTCAACTAAAAATCACTAAAAATTCAGCCAGATTCAGCAATTCAACCGGATTCAGCCAGATTCCTTAGTTAAATTGTAGATTTGAGATATGAAACAAGTACACTTAGTCCAAATAAACTAGATTTTGTTTTTGCGAGGAAACCAATGCACATATAAGTATTTGTTTTTCAGTACATGGAAGATATATCTATGTAATTAAGTAGTATATTTAAATGGGATTGGTCTTATTGATAAAATATTCCACATGGGACATTCTGTGTTTGCACAAACTCATAAGGGGAGAAAGATGGGCTTTAATTACACTCATTTATTAATTGCAAATGTTGGTCAAATAATTAATGTACTACACAACAAAGCTAGGAGAGAGAGATCGATGAACTGATTTTATTATTATTAAGACAGAAGTTTTTAAACAACTATAATTATCTTTGTTTGTTCTTAATAAAGTAAATCGAAGTCATAAAATATGAATTTTCACATTCTTCTGTTAATTAGAGATAAGTACCGCCTTAAATGGTAACATAACAAAAACATTCAGCCGGATTCAGCTAGATTCAGCAATTCCGCAGTCACCATTTGCATAAAACTAAATTCAGCCAAATTCAACAGTTTTTTCAGCACCAACAGATACGTAGATACGTTTATATCTGGTAAAAATTTGGATAATAACGAGCACATAAGTCGAATTAAAATATTTTGGATATCAAAAATTACACATCAAATTTATATTTTTAAAATAAGTCAGATTATACACATACGATATATAAATAATTCAGATACATAATATATCACTACCACAATATACAAGAGACGAATTCATATTCGGATAACTATAGACATTTTTGGATAATTTTAATAATTTTCAGATAATGTAAAATTTCGCAAAAAAAAACATAAAATAAACAATTAGATAATCTATATTATATTACCATGTTAACTTCTTGAATTAAATTATCAATATTACTTTACAAAGCTTTTCAATAATTATCTACATATTTCATAGTTTAAAAATTAAATATGGAAGAATAACTCAATTTTACTAACCAATATATTATTTATATTAGTATTTATTTTAGATAATTTAGTATTTATTAATTAGTATAACAGTTAATTAGATCATTAGATAATTTTATCTATTTTATTTTGATATTTTCTTAATTATTTTAATATTCATAATTATTTGACGATATTTTTCAGTTAAAATCTTTATTATTTTGATAGATTTTACCAAAAATCACAAAAACATTCAGCTAGATTCAGCGGTTACCATTTGAAAATGTAAAAATTCAGCTAGATTCAGCTAAAAATCACTAAAAATTCAGCCAGATTCAGCAATTCAGCCAGATTCAGCTAGATTTCTCGGTTACCATTTAGATCCTACATATTGGTATATGTCTTTGTCAGTTTCTCCTTTACACCTCGATCCGCATATACCACGTAATTGACGAATTGTATTTTACATATTTTTGTGTAAAGGTATGTAATAATTATACTACATAATAACGGGTTTTTATCCTAGTTTACGTTCTGCTGAATATATGAGATATCTAAATGAATGCAACAACTTCAAGAAGCATATGATTATTAGATAGGAAATACTAAAGATTGTAATTAAAAAGAAAACGTCACTACGTGAGAGAATTATAGCCAAGAATTTGATTTTACAAAAACAAGATAATCGTTGTATAAAAGTCAATGTTTAACGAAGTTCCCGTTCCGTGTGGATGTCTCTTTGTGTTAAAAAAAAAAAGAAACCAAAAAATCTCTTGTATTTTTTTGCTTGGTTTAGTTTTGAGGTTTTGATAAAATTCTTTGTTTAGTTTTGATCAAGTTTAATCGAAAAAATAGTGATACGTACGTAACTGGGATATATATGATGTTTTTTTTTTTTGACATCTTTGGATCGACAATGCCCGATCCATAGCCAATCCCTACTACGCGGGGTAACGCGACTTACTGGAGTCGAACTCCGGTGGGGAAGGCGGAGTCAAATGGACTTAACCATTTGACTAAAGGCACATCCCCCAGATGTTTTTTCCTTCTGTTTTTGTTAAATGGATATTTGATGTTTTTTTTTTTGGTAGGCTGGATATTTGATGTTCTTTACATGACCTCCAAAATCTCTGTGGTTACCTTCCATTTTATACAAATTCATCTTTTAAACTTCAGTTCTTATTTCATATAAATTGATGTTTTAATAGTTTTTATGTATATATACTCTTTCATTTATCCACATATGGTTACCAAATAAATGATTTTATGTCATGATATTTCGACATGTTAATTAAAAAACCTATGTATGAAAGAACGATAGTATATTAATGATAGTAACTTAATCGAATGATAGTTATAGAAATTCTGTAATTGAAGGATATAGTATTTGTTTGCTTATGAAATCCATTTATCAGTTACAAGCTATAAAAACATGAGAAAACAAAATGTACAAATTGACAATACAAAAATTGTTGCATAAAATAACATAAATTATTTTTTGGAGTATAGTCAACTTCATATACTTAAAGCAATTAAATTTATATAGTTTGAACTTATAATTAAAATTATTTTTTCTACATATAGTGCCAATTTTATATAGAAAAAATTAAAATTATATATATATATATATAAAATTGCATTATATTTGGTCTAGAATAGTTTTTTTTTCTGAATAGTTTTGTTATCTATATCAGAATTGTCAATTTGATAAGTTATTATTATTTTTTATACATTGACTGTAATTTTAAATGTAACAAAACCATCCTCCGTTTGTTTTGAGATCTACAGTAGGCGACATTGTTTCGTGATATTTTTCAAAATAGCACGTAAGATCTAAATTTCACATGTTATATTTAACTAAAATACATGCTATTTAAAAAAACGTAGTGAATTTTTAAGAAAAAACATTGTTACGTAGTGTTTTTTTTTTAAAAAAATATTGTTACGGAAAAATTAAACTTGAATAGAATCTTTTTATAAAGAAATAACATGTGATCTTAATAAAAACCGTGAATTACTAGAAAATAAGAATCGTTTTTTAAAGAAATTAGATGTGATCATAATAAAAAACGTGTATTACTACAAAATAACATGATAGTGAAAAATATTAAACTGAATAGAGTGTTTTTCAAAGAAATAACATGTGATCTTAATAAAAACCGTGAATTACTAGAAAATAAGAATCTTTTTTTAAAGAAAATCACATGTGATCATAATAAAAAACGTGATTACTATAAAATAACATGATAGAGAAAGATATTAAACTGAATAGAGTGTTTTTAATTTTCAAAAAATATCATGTGCTCTTTATAAATAACGTGTAAAACCGGAAAATAATATGATAAAAAGAGATATATTATTCTTTTTTTTTTTTTTTTTTTTTTGTCAAACAAGCATTCATTCACTTAAAACCTCAAAAGAGGGAAGTTCATACAAGGTGTAGCTAAGAAAATGCAATAGGAATAAAGATAAAGGCTCCATGAGTTTTCCAAAATGATGCTCATCTTAAAAAAGTTTGCAAAGTTTGAAGAATCTTTTGAGGCCATAGCGGATTCGACCATGAAGACGGGCTTCACGAAATCCTCGACCAACGGATGGTCATAGACGGCTCGCGCGAATAACGCAAACGAGCTTTTGAGAAAATGCTCCACGGAGGAGGCTGTCGGGTAAAAGAGGTTGGAGAAGCTTTGGTAACCACCTCTCCTCGGAGACGGGGTCATAATGCCATTCTTCTTCAAGCTATTAAATGTTTGAGTATTGTACCTGAACTCTTTGATTTGCACATGAATGAGCTTGGTTTTCAGGGGAGGCGGAGATAGAGAGTTGAAGAAGCTTCGGTAACCACCGCTCCGTAGAGACGGGATCATAATGCCGTTCTTCTTCACCCTTTTGGGCAATTGGTGTATAAACAATGCATCCGAGCTTTTGGAAAAGTGCTCCGCGGAGGAGGCTGACGGGTTAACGAGGTTGAAAAAGAGACGGTAACCACCTCTTGAAGACATGGTCATAATGCCGTACTTTTCCAACCTACCAGAAGATTGCAAATTATCCAAGCAATAGATTAACACATGACTGAACTCGATAATTGGTGAATGGGTAGGTAGAGAGTTGAAAAAGCTTCGGTAACACCTACTCCGTAGAGACAGGGTCATAATGCCGGTCTTCTTAACTCTAAAGGCCAATTGCCTATGGTTGGGTAAGAGAGTCTTGGATAGAGTCCAAAGTAAACTTAGCATCTGATCTCGACAAAGGTAACTATCAAGCCAGCCCAAACAAACCATTACTCTGTTAGCGTGGCGTCCATTACCAGCCAAGACAGAGTTAGAGGGTGCTAAAGGGAGGGAACTTGATAGGAAATTAATAATACTTGGCACGGGAAGCAACACTCTAGGACACTTCCAAAGAGAAATTAACTCCAAACGAATCAAGACCAGACTCAAACGATGAAGCAAACGGACCAAACGAGATAAACTATCGACCAGGTTTTGGGAAAGAGAACTACTAATCCAAGCTAAATCCATCATCACCATCACAGGAAAGCGTTCATTACTCTCCCTAAACGATAACAACTTCAGAAAATTTGGGCTTTGTAAAACAGAATTAAAATCAGACCTGGGCCTTAGAAGACATGGGCTTAACCCAGCGGAAGTCTTCATGGGCTTCGAAAGTTTGGGTAATGGGCTGGAAGGAGGACAAAAGGGACTTGGGCTAGGCCCAAAACGAGGCACCATTAGGTTTACCCAGGTTCTTCTTCTCATCCTCACCAAAAGCGGCGGCGGCAGAACGGATTTGGGCTGTCCCGCAACCGATTTGGGGGCTTCTAAGACAAGATCTACCCAATCAAAAGATGCGGATGATGAAGCTCGGTCTGCAGAAGTTGATTCGCCCATGGTTTGATGCTTCCACAGCTCCGGCGTCGAGGCAGAGCTCCCATCCATCGAGGAACAAGGAGATGCTGATCTTGACTTCAAGGAGAGCCGAGAAGAGGGATCATCCACGAGAATCGCGAAAAGGTTAAGAGGAGAACTAGTACCAAATAAGAGCAAGCTCGAAGGTAATGCGGTCATAAAGCTTTTTGGATAAAAGGGGAGGGAAGAGAGCCGAAACAGAAGGAAACAAGAGAATGCAGATAACCAGAAAATAAAACCTTTGAGAGGAGATCGACGAGGAGGAGAGAGCTCCCGGCACCGACGAACGAAAGCTCTACCGGTGCCGAAAAAGTGTTTGAAAAGTCGGTCTCGAGAATCGTGTCTGGGAGGAAAGCGCTATATCAGAGATATATTATTCTATCACATGTAATTCGAGAAAAAAAAACATGTTATAAAGGGTATGTGTGTAATTACACGTACTTTCCGACATCCAACAGACAAAGTACTGTAACTCATGGCTATTTTCTTAATTCTTTTTGAATCCATGGCTATTTACTATAAATTCTCTTATTTTTAATCTCTGCAATGATCTCTTCTTCTTGAACTTCAACTGTCATTGTCAACGAAATCTCTACAGTTGTTTGAAAAAAACTATTTTTTAATCTCGACTGTAATCTAAATCAACTAACTTACCATCCAACTCGTGAACCAAAAAAAAAAAAATTACCGTTTAATTAGCCAATGTTAATTTGTCATCAATTTGGACAAATCTATCGTCGTTTATTTTGAAGTAAATCATGTGTTAAGTAAATCATGTTCTTTAATTTTTCAATTAATGTATACTCAAAACTTGATAATTATGAGGTAGTTCTTCGGGTGGTTCAATATTTGAAAACAATTGTGGCCAGGGAATTTTACTTTGTTCCAATATTGATTTTAATTTTTTCTATTTGATGTGATTCATATTAGCTAGGTTATCTTTCAACGCTTTGATCTTATTACAGACTGGGTTATTCAACTTGGTGGATCTTTTTACTTTCTTCAAAAATGAAGAATCAAACTTTGCTATCTTGTTCTTTTGCAAAAGCATAATAGTATTGATTCATGGGGAACACGGTTAGTGAGCTTCTTTGGTTGAAAGAGCTACGTACTAGTTGTTATTGGCGGGGATCGTGCGGCACATATCTCTCCCTTTATTGTGATAGTTTATCTGCCATTCATATCGGTGTGAATTAGAGACGAACTAACACTACAAGAAATGTGGGTATTAATAGCACAATAAGATAGCGTTTTTTTTGTATATGCTATGTTTGACTGAATCGTGAATTAAAGATAGCGTTTTGTAAATTGTAAACGCTACAGTAAATTGTAATTTGTTTAAGCGGGATAATGAAATTGAGGCGGGCCAATTTTGTGATTCTAATCTTTAATATCCCGCTATTGAAAATCTTAAGAGGGAAAAAGGTGAAATTTTTTCTAAGGCAAAATAAAAGAAAACCTTAAAAATTACTTCTCTTTTTTTTTTTTACCTAAGGCAAAAGCAGATCGACAACTTCTCTCTCACTCGATTTCTTGAGATATTGAGATCAAAATCTGCAACTCTCACTCGATTTCTTGAGACCTCACTCGATTTCTCAGTCTCTCCCTCTAATTCTCACTTTATCTCACTCGATTTCTCAGTCTCTCCCTCTAATTCTCACTCAATTTCTCACTGTATCATCTTGATTTCTCAGTCTCTCAACTCGATTTCGCACAATCTCCCTGGAATCTTCAATATATAGGTATGTTCTCATTCAATCGTAGCTTCTTTGTTATTTGGAATGGAAAACCATTTTGATTTGGGGTTCCGATTCTTGGGTTGTGTGAACATTGATGCAGAAGTTTGTGATTTTGGGTATCAATTTTGATTTTGGGATTTGATTTTGGATTTGATTCTTAGTTTTAGTGACTATAATATAAACTTGTTTAATTGATTTTTCCATAGTGGAACGACGTTTGTTAGATTACTTCTGATGGTTGATGGTATAAGATTGATCTTGTGAATACATAATTCCTGTTCGAATATCTTGTCTTCTGATTTTTTTTCATTTGCATAATTCTAATTGGATTTTCGTTTTGGTTTAATTTTGATATAGCGAGGATTAAGGTTCACGAGCTTAGAGATAAGTCAAAGACTGATCTTCAGAACTAATTGAAGGAGTTCAAGGCTGATATAGCGAGGATTAAGGTTCACCAGCTCTATTTACGCTGCATCTACTGAAGAACGGTGAGATGGGCTTGAAGCTTAACCATATGAGGAGATTACTAAACACTGAGAAATTGATCTGAAGTCTGAAACTCTCGTGGAGATTACTTCACTACTGTAGGCTTCTACATCAGTTCTATGGTAACTTATGATCTCCACATGTCAAACTGAGTTAACCATTGACTATGAATTTGTTTTTAACGGAGTTATTCTGTGTATTACAGACTATGAACTACATGATGTATTCGAGAAGCCACTTTGTGAAAGGAATGGAGCTGATGGTGCTGCTGATGTGTTACAGGCTGTACGGGAAAGCAACAGAGGACTCAGTGGCATATGCGCTTGTGATGGGCTCAACCTGGTTCCTGGTGGGTTCTTGGTTGTTTGATCAGTTCTTTTTCAATCCCTCAGGATTCGAGTGGCAGAAGATAGTTGATGACTAGGATGATTGGAACAAGTGGATAAGCAGCAGATTTTAGGCTTGTAGTGAGTATAGTGCTTGTAATGATACAAGTTTTATGTTGCAAGTGACTATAGTGAGTATAGTGCTATCCGAACTCAATTTGCAACATAAAACTTGTAGTGAGTATAGTGCTTCTTCTGAAGTCTGAAACTCTCGTGGTTTACAGTTTGTGAAGAACAGCTCTTAGGCTTCCCTTAATCAAGCTGGTCAGTGGTGATTTTAGTAGTTTTGTGTCTCGTGGCTGCGTTGGTTCTTCCCCGATTTCTGCCATCTTATCTTCTAATCAAAGATGGAGATCGTGATCGTTGAGAAGAAACATGGTTAATACAGACTAAAATGTGGGAGCCAAAATTCAGAAGTGGCTTGGCCTAATGAGTCTACGTCTGAAACTTTTAAGTACTGTGTTTTATATATCTATAATGTTATGTAGAACACTTTGTTTTCTATTGTTGAATGCACTTGACTTTTGATACAAACCACATATTTGAGAATGCAAGCACAATTAAAGTTAAAGTTAAAATCCACATATTTTAAATTCCTAAATTAAATCTCTAAACCCTAAATTAAAATTAAAATCCTAATTAAATTAAATCTTTAAAATCCTAATTAAATTAAATCTTTAAACCTTAAATGAAAGTTAAAATCCTAATTAAATTAAATCTCTAAACCCTAAACCCTAAACCCTAAATTAAAGTTAAAATCCTAATTAAATTAAATCTTTAAACCCTAAATTAAAGTTAAAATCCTAAATTAAAATCAAAAAACTATCTAACTTGAGTAAAAAAATCTAAACCCCAAAGTTTAAACCCTAAACCCTAAACTATGCCCTAGTGTTTATGAACATATAAGTTAGATAGTTGGAATACTAACTAATATTAATTGTTCTTAATTTTAAAATTTTATACTTATAAGAAAAAATATTCTAAAAATTGAAATACTTATATTAAATTTTTAAAGAAATAATTTCTATTTTTTTCATTAATAAACTATTTTATATGATAATTTTCTGATTTTTTCATTAATAGCCAATGGGAAGTAACCTCCCAGATTGTGGGACTAATCCTACACCGTTAGATAGCGCCGACTTTGATCTCAGCCGTCCATTCTTATTGTTGATTTGATTAATGTACACCGTTGATCTATCTTGATAACTTTGATCTGAGCCGTTCTTTTTCTTAGCCAATGAGCATTAACCTCCAGGATTGAACTTTGGCTTATTCTCCACCATTGATGAATTAAATCCAACGGTTAAGATTTTCTCCTTCTTTTCTTTTTTTTTTGGTTAAAACTTCTTTTCCTTTTGCCTCTTCTCTTCGTATGAGAAAATCAAAGGTCCCAAAATCAAACTCTGCGAATCTTGAGCAAGCGTATCGCTCCCTCATCTCCGCTTCCAGAGGTTTATCTCGCACTCTTAGCCCTTCTCTTCCTGAATCTCAGCCTCCGCCACCGCAATTAGAATCCCAATCCCCTTCTATGGTGGTTAGCTCGTTCCCAGCTCCGGTGACGCCGTCGCCTCCATCTCAGGAGGAAATTCAAACCAGAAGCAGGAACAGAGAAGAGATTCGAAGAGTGCATGACTGCTATAAGCGTCTCAAATCTTCTATTGGTCAGAGAGATGGTGGTGGGTGCTCTGCGAATCTTGAGCAAGCGTATCGTTCCCTCATATCCGCTTCCAGAGGTTTATCTCGCACTCTTAGCCCTTCTCTTTCGTTCGATTTAGTTTTACCAATTGGATGATTAATTATTTGCTACTTGTCGGAGTTGATGGAATTCGATTTCTCAACCATTCTCGAAGCTTGATAAAGCCATATATGTATATACTGGTTGGGGTGTTTCTTTGTAGTCCATATCACACTGTGTCAGCTTTTATGTGTTCCTTCCCATTAATGTTACCCCTTCCATAGATACCTTATGTATGTGAATGCCATAATGTTACTTGTAAGCCTGTTCTTGTGGGGTTTCACAATCTGTAGACTGTAGTTCCATTCATATGTAAGGTGGGGGTGGTGTGTCACTACAAGAAAAATGAGCATTGATAGCACATTACGATAGCGCAGTTTTCGTAACTGCTATTAAAAAGGACTAACTAGATTGGAGATTTCTATTATAGCATTTTAAAAATGCTAAACCGACATTTCACTTAAGCGGGAGTTTTTGGAGACTAATTTTTTACCATTGGCGCTAATACTTAGACAAAAATAACACAATTACCGCTACTGTTTCTTTTTATATTCCGAGACCAAACAGAAAAAAAAACTTTGAAAAAAAAAACCCCTATTCTCTTCATTCTATCTCGATCTACTCCTCCACCATTAGACGACTCAGACGACTTGCTTCTCCTCTTTTAAACCCAACCGCCTCTCTTCCCACTTCTCTTTATCCGATCTCAAATCTCACTCCTTTCTCCAATCTCAAATTTCCCTCTATTTCTCCAATCTCAGATCCATCGTTTTAGAAGTAATCAAAGTTTCAAGACATACCAAGTTTCTACTAGATCTACATGGATTTATTCTGCTGGGATTCTCAGACATGGTTCACGACTGTTCTCCTCCAATGGCGGTCAAATCCAATCGCCTCCTCCATTTGCGCAACGAAGAAGAAGAAGAAGACCACAAAAGCCATTCAGATCTTTATGGCGTCTTCTCTTACTTTCAAATCCATTCTCGGATCCACCAAACCCGGTTCTTCTTCTCTTCCTTCGGAGCTCCGTCGTCTATCTTCTCCCGCCGTTCAGATCTATATCCGTACCCAAACTAGGAAAAACTTTCGTGAGTTTTCTGATTATTTTCGAAAATTTTAGATTCAATCCTTTGCATAAAGAAGAAAGATGTGTAATTTGAATCTTTAGGGCAGTTCTGATTTATTGAATTGATTCACATTTCCGCTAAAACAGAAAAGGAGAAATGGAAATTATGACTCACTAAGACTTAGACACGAAAAGCATCTGAGAAACAAGAGTACAACTTTTGATTATTCAATGATATGTGAAGTAAGAAAAAGAGTACAACTTTTGATTTGTGAGTTTCGTACATGGAAATTTACAACGAAGAAATTGACGATCTTTTAGGTGTTGACTGTTGAGAACCAGAGACTACAAATTCATGAACATTTGGAGGTTGGTTTTGATTATTTTCATCAGTAATATCTTCTTCATTAGTTTGCTTATGAGTGTTTAAATTCTCTTGCTTTCTCTTGATGTACAACGTGGAGTGTTTGTTGCTGGTCTTAAGAAAGAAATTATTAGTGACGCTGAACAGATTTTAAAGCTTATAGATTTTGGATAAGCTTTTAAAGGCAAAGCTTTACTAAGAAGTATTTGTTTTCCTACATTTTTGTATGTCTAATGTGTATTGACTTGGTCTTTTCAAGGGTGGAGGCAGATCTTCTGCTAGAGACACCATTGGAAGAGTTGCTCCTGAGCTTTGGCAAGAAAATTTTGAAGCTATTTGCAGGAACTGAGGTTTGTTTACTTTCAGTTTGCAAATGACATTGCTCTCAAAGAATCAATTTACATCTAACTCTTTGTATACTTTCTGACGTTTGGTTTGTTCTTTTATCTCTGTCTTTTCTATCTTAGTATATCCTTGCAGTATGTCCCTTAGTTAAAAACTGATGTTGCCACTTCTTATTATGAGACGACATGTTCAAGTAAGGAGATATAGAAAGTCCATGAACGTTTTTGATTGTATTGGTTTCGTTTGTTTTGTTTTATTGTAAAACAGGTTAAGTGAGAGGATGGTTTCAGAGACTTGTTTTCGTCATGTGATAAGAATATTGTGAGGCTTAGGTACGAGATAACACATTCTACGGGTATAAAGAAGCTAGTTTAAGAAGATGATGATTTTGAAGGCTTTAAGAAGTTTTTTATTTTCGCCTTGTGATGTTAGTTTTAGTTTGTTTAAGACTAGGCAGCATTTTAGTAATAAGTATAAGACTTAATATGATGTTATGTATGACTTGTTGGTTAATGAAATATTTACCTGTTGATGATATATATATATATATATATATATATATATATATATATATATATATATATGTCCAATTAAGTAAATTTTACAAAATTGGGTTCCAAAATAAAATTTATTTTATAAATCAAATTAAATTTATATAGCAAAAAAAAAATCTACGACATTATATAAAATAGCACTAAACGTGGGTTACAATAAAGTATATTATAGCGTTTGATTAAAGCAATAATATAAAAATGCTATCGTATGTGGGGGTTTACCATAACATGCCGAAAATGCTATCGTATGTGGGGGGTCTATAATAACTGGGGCAGAAACAGCGTTTATGAAAACGCTATGAATGACGTATTATAGCACTCCTGTCGTGTTAAGAATGTGGATTTTTCTTGTAGTGTGTAGTTATCTGGAAATCATCTATGGAAGGAAAACTAGTGCACATTGTTTACCTAGTGTTAATCATAATCTTTGTTATCTAGTGTTAATCATAATCTTTGTTTCGGTGAAAGATCTGCTAGGCATTTGGATATTTTTAGGGTTCCTTATTCTTACGTTTGGTAGTATTTGGAATTGGTACATCAATCCGAACTGGAATGAATCTGCTCAATTTCTGACTTAGGGTGAATTTTCTGTGTCTTCCTCAAAATGATTTCGAATTTTAAGATTTAGGGATTTAGTTTATTGTTATTGTTGATTCTATGTGTAGTAGAGAGGGAATATTTACATCATTCAATCTCGTGAGGCTGCATTTTTCCTATAGATCAAGACTCTTCCTTTAAGGTAGAATGTGTAGCCAAAATGTTATTATGTCAATCTCTGCAGATACAAGTACTTTAACTGAGAGCGTCATGGTAGTTGACTTTTACTTTAGCTTCTTTTGGTGGATATGCTATGGGATTCTTCATCTGTCTTGTCTTTTGTTGATAGGTTTTTTCAGGGCAAGCCTTACAGGGATCTCATCTCTGTGGGCTACAGTCCCGTGCTATATCTTATGGAAGCAACAAAGGTATATTTTCTTACTGTTTTTGGGTTATTTTGGTTAGTTTTTCTATGAATTTTCTGGCATATATGTTACTAATGCTTTGCCTCTTGTACATACAGATGATGAAGAAGCTGAGCAACTTGCTAAAGAGATCTCCAAGGATTGGAGTACTGGTAAGCTATGGATCAAGCCAACGTTTTATCTGGAGGTTAGACATGAATGTCTCTGATTAATTGATGATAGTTTCCATTTTAGTTTGATTGCAAGAACTCGCATTTCCTAGAGGAGGAAGATGAAGATAGGAGACATAGGGGCAGATGAAGAGGCATAGAGGAGATTTATTGATTTTGTATTTTTTATTGATGTAGTATTTTAATAAAGGTTTTTGTATATTATTTTATGTAATAATGATAATAAATATTGTATTTTTATTTTTGATATGTTATTTTACAAATATTATATTTAAATTAAAAAATAATTCATAATTATTTATTATTTTGAATAATTTAAAAACAAACTAATAACACAAAACAGATGCTATCTTTGCTATAGGTAAAATCTAA